CTTAGGCAGGCTGTGCCCATTTATCTATTTAAAATATGAAATAACTCTTATCTCATACAGAAGTGTTTATTGAGGCTTAATGAGCTGCTATTATGTTTATTACAGAGATTTCTAAGGACCACATGGCATAATGTTGCTTTATATATGAAAGATGATTAAAACATCTTCTGAAGTATCAATTTGTAAGTAAAAAGGGTTCCAGCTATGAAACCACGTGCTATTACACTCCAGAGGACATGCTATAATGCCTGTATTTCTTCAGAACACTTGTTTAATTTTAGTACATTGTTTCTTTATTACCACAGTTTAGCAGCATTAAGGATTTAAGCACCACAGGCTCCTGTGAGATTGGGTTGGTTTTTCACTTGTTCTTGTCTGCTGAGCAGCGTTTGCTCACTGTGTGAGTCGGGGGAAGTGTCAGCTGCATCAACAGCTTTGCTTTTCCCAGTGCTGGGAATGTTCCCCTTCTGGATGTTACCCTGTGTAAGACAGATGTGTCAAAACTGTCCCCTTCCTCCAGACACGTGAAGCAAGATTTTAGGAGACTGTTCCATTGTGCTCTGAAACATCTAAAGACTTCCAAACAAATAAACAGTTGGCTCTCGGTGCTGTAACATGAGGGTTCTGAGAAGATGGGAAAAATACCACAACCAAAGCAAAAAGTCCTCCAATAAAGGAAAAACTGGTGACTAGAGTAGAGAGAAGCTTCCTAACTTTGTGGCTGGCTGCTGGCAAACCTGGCCAGTTTAGGCAGTAACAAGCAGGGTTTGGCAAGATAGAGGATTACTCCAGGTGTTTCTTCAAAGATACCTAACCAGCTGAACTCCTGAATCTGTAAAATCAGATCTGATGTCTTTACGAGGTACATTGTAATGAATACAATGGAAATGGGAAACTTCATGGCCAAGACAAAAATCCTGCCTCCTCCAGCATAGTCTGAGATTTTTATTATTGTCCTGATCGTGATCTGTGAAGTCAAGAATGGCAAGTGGAAATAAAGGGAGAAAAACGAGCCCAAGAAAAAAAGACTTTTATTACATCCATGCAGGAATGTTATTAAAGTGAAAGAAACCTGAGGGAATAAGAGCTTTGAGCTATGATATTCTTTTCTGTAGAGCTGATGAAAAGACACTATGAAAGGTCAAATAATTCTAATTCTCCTCCCTGAAGTCAGTCATTCTTCCTGTTGTCAATGTTCCTCTGTAGTGTGCTTAGCAAAGGCAAGATTGCATCAGTTCATGGCTGCAGCAGGACTGAATGAGACAGAGCAATGGATACATTCCTGCTGTTCCAGCCCCATTCTCCATTTGACTGAAATGCTGGCAGTCTGAAGGCCCAACCTCACGCCCTCACATCGAGAGTTCTCTCAGCAGAGGAAATTCCCAATGTGGGAAGGAGCCCAGATTTGTGGTGTTATCCCTGCTGATGTCCCTCCCTCCCTCCCTTTGTGCCAACCCTCCTACGCTTTGTAAAACACTCAGGAGGATTTAGGAAAAGGTACAGGGCACGTGACTGAGAAATAAAATGTGGAATCCCAGCTCGGGGAGAATCCAGGGAGAGTGATCCCCTTCGCTCCAGCACACCAAGAACTTCACCCAAAGCATCAATCCTGCACGTGGAGGAATGAACAGGCTTTTAGATGTCATTTTGTGATGACCTGAACCACCTAAGTATAAAGGGTTAAAAAGAACTATTTAGGTAAGAAAAGAAGAAATGTATCTTTAATGAGTCATAGGTCTCCTGAAGATAAAATTTAAGAGCTTAACATTTCAGCGTCAGTGAATTTCCTTTTTGTGGAACATGAAATTTTGGCTAGGCAGTTGGAGAAGAAAACACAATCTTGTTTTCTTTCCATATTCATGATAATATTTGTTATAATAATTTAGTTTTGTTTCAGTAACAGGAATGTTGGTGTTTTTCCATTTCCTCGATGCATTTCCATTTTCACACTTCCCCCATGTAATATTAAATATATTGGAAACGGTGCCAAAATATTCAACAACATTGAAAAAGCAGAGGAGAAATAAAATTAGAGTCACAGATTTCATATCGCTCCTTTTTCTAAATTAATAAATATTTCATTTTCTTCTCTAGAGAAGCAGCAATGAACTTCCACTCCCAAATATGAGAATCTGACAAGCTGAACTTAAAAACATGGCTTAGCAAATAAACTGTCCTGAAAATGACATCATGATTATTACAAGCAGCAATCATTCCCACAAGAAAGAAGAACAATTAGATTTTGTCACATGATCCTACCATTAAAATGTCTCCAGAGTGAAAGATTGAACAAATAATTTCAGGTCACTTTGCCAACAAAATCACAGGGAGATTGGAACTCTGGGTCACCGATTCTAGCTAGAGGAGTGGCAGAGCCACACTCCTAATCGTGATTAGGGGTTTTCCCCCCCCCTTTCCTGCTCCAAAACTCACATTCTCATCTCTGCTGCTATATAGCAAAGACCATAGTGACACTTGCTGGTGCAGCAAGGAGTCTGAAACAAAATGCTAAAGGAAACAGAGCCAACTGCAGTTGGTTTTTTATTCATTTCTTCCCTTGGGGATAAATGCTCTGAGGGTTCTGTTTCCCGCTTGGCAGACCAAGAGATGTTCAACACGTAGAGGCAATTATTCTGCTCCTGATCTCCCAGTGTAAGCACTGAAACAGCAGCCCTGGCTATCACAGGAACAGTGTGCCACTCTGCTAAACTTAGCTGAGTCAATCTGCTCCTTTCTTCCCCTTTTTTAAAAGACATCTGAAGAATAAAAGTACTCCAATACCCACTCTCTCCCTTTGCCCTGCACCTGCCTTACCCGTCTCCTTAAATGCCCCCTGTACCCCAAAACAGGAGCGAAACCCCCTCTTAAAGGGAAGTTGTAGTTCACATTTTGAGGAGAGTTCTTGGACCCTCAGGGTTCTCACTTGATACTTGGAAACTAAAGGGGATTTTCCCTCCAGGCTGTGACAACAGGAACAACGAAAAACCTCCAAACGAACAGCAAAGCAACATTTTTGCCATTTGTTGATTACAATCAGAGACAATCCTCCAGGTAACTGAATATCTCAGGTGGTTATTTCATTAATTTTTTTGTCCTGACAGAGGCAGTGTGGTTGCTTTCACCTGAGGTTGAATTCACTGGCACCTGGAAGCACTTGACCTATGAAGTTGTTAATATTTAGGTGTAAAAAACTGAAAAAAAAAAAGAAGCAGGTACACTAAGCACATGGGGGGTAAGCTTGGTAAGAGAAAATTTCAGTCTTAGTCCTCAGTTGTTCAACGTCTTCCAAAGGAGAAAGCTTTTACTTCCCTTTCCAGTTGTTTTCTTATGACCTTTCCACATTTTTAACCTGTTCTAAGGGGCCAGGAGCGCCATTCCCAACCACACAGTTTCTCGTAGGTGACACAGAGGGGAGATAAAGGGCTGCACCTCCTCCTCTGCAGCACATTTCAGCAGCATCTGCAGCATGTTATGGGATTCGACTGAATGAGATTTTCTGTTTGCTCCTTGCCCTTTCATTCCTCTCCTATTGTCCTGAAATCACATCTTCCTCTCAATGTCCCCATTTCATCATTTACCTCGTCCACTTAGACTGAAAGTATCTCAAAAATAAGACCTTTCTCTTAGACATCCTAAGTTACATACAGTAGTATTGGGGAATTCTGGGAAAGATCTTAGGGAGGTGTTTCCAACCCTCAGCTCGTTCCAGCAACTCCACCTACATGTTTTTTTACAACTCAGAAAGCCAAGTTGTGTGAATAACTTGCCTTGGTTTGGTTTCATACTTCACACTGCAAAAATCCATCGCTCTCCCCATTAAAAAAAAAAAAATGTCCTGGCGAGGCCTTAACCGGTTTTAAAATATTCAGATTCATCTGGACAAAAGAGTAAGAAGTTGTTTTAAAATATGGAGAAATTATTAAATCTTCTATCAAGGAACTAGAAAAAGAGAAAATAAATACAGGGGTTAACAAGGGTCAAAAATGTTATCTTTAAGGCTACTAGAACTAGGATAGGGGGGAAAAAATTCCTCTTGAGCAGTTGGAGGCTCTGGTATTATCCATTTTTCAAGCTCCTTGGCCTGCAAGTGAATATACTATTAAAACCCCCCAGCTTTGAGACAATCCTAAAATATTTCAGCTGGGAAAACTCATAATATCCCAAAAGCAGGAGCAAGTGTTAGTCCTAAATTCCTCTACAAACAAAACATAGGGTGGCAGACTTAAATAACTGCATGCAATGAATGAGAGAAAAAATGATACTTCACCAAAAAAAAAAAAACAACCAGGCTGCAGATATTATCACTTTTCTTCTGGGAAAAGCAGAAAATAAAGAAAGCCTGAGCTGCTGCTTAGGTGATACTTCAGAAATGCAAGTGGAGTCCCAGTAGAATTTCTCAAGTTGCTGTCAATTTATTCCAAAGAAATACAACTTAGTAAAAGCCATCAGCACCACAAGCTGCTATTCAAACACTCCAGTGTTTTTATCTCGCTGCTTTAAACACAATCCTAAGGAGAATCTCTGTTTGCTGTGGTTCAGGACGACTGATCTGGACTCTTTTTTTAAACAATCAAGCCTGGGTAGACACAGCACTGTGTAAAGTCTTACTGCACAGTGTCCTTGCACGCAGTGCCTCAGCCAGGCAACCACGTTCTGCAAACTGCTGCTTCTCCAGATCTGAAGCATCAGCCCTGACTTAGACATGAACACTCATTCATAAAGCAAAAATGTGTTTCTGGCACCTTTTGAGGCCTCAAGCACTTCCATCCCAGATCTTAAAGGCACATAATTGTGCTTGGAAGCACGATTTGTATCTTTTGTTTTAAGGATCGTGTGGTCTTGTAGGGGCAAGTGTTGGAGGGGAGTGGCCTGTGTCCACCAGCCTTGGTCTGTAAAAGCATGAGGACTTGTAACAGATGAAAAGTGTCCCTCTCAATCACAGGGGCAGACTAAGAAGTAAATGCTTAAAAACAAGGAGAGAAAGCAGCTTTATAACTCACCAGAAGGAGATATCTCCTTAATTCCTCTCTTGCTGCCAGAGATGAGATCTGTCACCATTGACCTTGTTCAGGAGAATGAGACATTCAAGGAGGCATCTGAAGCCTGGAAAATGAAGAAACTTATGAGAGCAAGAAATTAATGGAGAACAAAATGCCTGTGTTGAGGTAGCAGGCCTTTTCCTTTCCATATGGGACATCCAGGATATAGGGAATCTCTCTCCCTTCAAGTCTGTAATTATGTCTGTATTTTCATTCTTGGTCCCACCAGAAACACTGAAGCCCAAAGCCTTAGGATGGATACAATCTGCAGTCCTTTCCCATTTGTAATACTTAGAAATACAGACTTCTAGCAAAACCAGAAAATTAACCTTTCCTTGCAAAATCCTCAGGAGAAAGACAAACACTGATCTTGGGATTACATATTAGGGAATTTAGAACAAATTATGTTCTCAATATAATGACACTGAGGCTGCAGAGAGCATGAATAGAGGTGAATTTGATGTTAAGAGTTTAAATAATTTGCTCGAGGACACAATGCAGTTCACTGTCTGCCCTGAGATTAGAAGCCAGGAGCTATTAAATTCTTTCTCTTGTTCCCAGACTGCTAGACTAGGGGTAAAGCTCCCTGCAGAGAGGAATATTTAAAGAAAAAAAGAAAAAAAAAGAATGAAGAAGAAGACTTATTCACTCAGTACAAGCCCTAGAGTAAGACTACACACATAATATCACCGGCGCTTCTCTGCCCCTCGTGTATATTCTCCTCAACCTCCTCTGACTGACAGAAGTACTGGCAACTTTCCAAGAGCCATCTGCCCAAAACTGAGGGTTATACCTTCTGGGGCCTGGGAGGACTTAAAGGTGGCTCTACAACCTTAAATGAGAGAGGGAACCTCATCCCCTGCACTTGAGACATTCTAGTGAGCAGTCCCTGCCAGCAGCTGGGGTCAGATCCCCTGAGAGCTTGGCAAAGGCAAGAGCAAAAAAGGGTTCTTCTTCCCAGGCATTAGAGGGAACACAGAAAACAGGCCACCAAATCCCAAAGTGCTCCAGCCTCCCACACAGCAGTGATGGGAGGAGGAAGGCTGTGACACATTTCAGTCTCGTCCTTTATTAATACATTCAGCTGTCAACACTTCAGAGCAAATGCTCCCCAGGTTTTCCCCAGCCTCTGACTGCATCATGACTTGCTGATAGAATGCTCTCCTTCTCCTTTTTTTTTGGAAAAGCTTTCTGTGAGTTCCATGGACACCAGGAAAGGACTTGGTGTTCCCCAGCACCCTCAGGATGGCCCCTTGTCCTGCCTTCTCCGTGCCTTCCCACTGCCTCCAGTGCTCACGTAAAACATTCTGCTTGTAACAATTCACAAAGGGACCCAAAGGGACTAACTTCGAGGGAAATGCTTTGCCATGAGATGGACATCCCAAATGCGGCCCAAGGGAAGGAAGGAACAACAGTAAATCCCATCTGGAGCTGCCTTTACTCCAGACAGCCCAATAGCACCATGAATATCCCAAACAAAGCAGTGACTGCACAGGGAACAGCAGCAGGGTTTCAGTAATTGGCCATGTTTACGTGGATTGAGAGACCAGTACTTCTTATCATACTGGAATTCTACCTTAACATGAAACCTTTCAGAATAAGGACAAGCTTTTTACTACATTTGAGCAGTTCTTACTCAACCACAGTGCAGATCTGTCCATTTACTGGGTCCCCACTATACTACAGTGCAATATAATTAAAGTATTGATTATTCATTCAGTTTTCTCATAATTACATTCCCCAATGCTTGAATACTGCAACTGCAAATATCAGATGTGTGAGAGCACTACAACATAAATACAAATAAAATTTGGGATTAAATCAGCAAGTGTAAGATGGCAACACATTTCAGGACTAGGCTGATCAATGACTGTGAATGGGAGGAGGTTTTATTCTGACTATAATAATAAATATCCTTCCACACCTTTCAACACCTGCCATTCATTACCACAACACCTCTTCCAACAGCACCTGATTGCTCTTCATGGTCAGATTTGTGCAGAACTAAAGGCAGATGTTGCATTAGATCCTTTGCTACTGGAATGAGGATCCAGGAACACCTGTAGTTTGTCTCTTTTCAAACCACAGGGTTGGATCTGCCCTGTTGTGAGTGAGTTGAGCGTTTCACTTGCTCATTCCAGCAGTCTGGAAATCAGCCTGGATGGACTCACAGTTTGTTTGGTGTGTTAATGCTCAGGGTCCTACAAAAAAACCCCCACAATTTTCCCTTTCAAACAGGCTTTCTCAGAAGTTATTAGGCTCGTGTGGATTCATTAAACAAGCCCATGAATGTTGTTATTAGCTTTTAACCACGCAAACACAGTCCAAGTAAAACTGGGATTTACAGTGGTATGATCACATTGAGTCTCACCTGGTCATTTATGCTGCCATAAAATGACAATAAAAACCACTGACTGTGCTTGGAGCTTGTCTACATTCCTAATAAAACATTGGCCTCAGTACTTTGGAATTTTTTATTTTTTTTTTGCTGACAAATGAGGAACAGCTGATCAACAAACGTATTGCTCTTTTTACAGCAGGCCCTTTTTTTGTTTTCCATACTGAAATGATTGAGAACAGAACACCCAAAACCTGTCAAAATAAAATTTCTTTGGAACCAAGCCACAAAAAAGATAAAATTAAGTTGTCACCGAAAATTAATTAATACAAAGCAGTGATTGGTGGGAGGAATAAATACTTAGACCTAAAAATACCAGCGCAACAGCGTGCTGAGAGGTTATTTTTAGTCCTAGTTCTAACAAGAATACCTCAGTATGTTTAATAATAGCAAATTGGATCTCCAGGGCAAGATATTGAGAAAAATTGTTTACAGCAAGCACTTCCAGATCTCAAAGACCGACCTTGGAAGATTTTTAAGTTGTTATTAAGCTTTGGCTGGCTTTTTAAAGAAATGGCTTGAAAATATTTTTCCATTATACGCTTTCATTATTTGTTACAGCAAGTGAGGTTTCTGTGTAACCAAAAATCATTACAGCACAGGCAGTTTCACTGGCTGAGTCTCCACAAAAGCCAGTTTTCTGGGATGTAAGTGTGAAACCAGCAAACACAAAAACTGTTTCTCATCTAAGGAAAAGAATGTATTTTGAAATTAATTCAGAGTTCAATTAAAAAATCTTTCATCTCTCTTTTGTAATAAATAGCTCCTTATGAGCAACTGGACGGCAAGAATTAAATCTTCTGAGCTGCTTTTAAAAATCTATATCCAATTCTTAAAAATCTATATCCAATTTCTAAATACATTAGACCACCAGAGCCTTGGCCTGGCTTAACCAGACAGAGGCAAAAGTCTCATCTGCTGAGCTATAAGAGCTTTTAACTTTCTCTCTTTGGGAATTGGATGAAGTTGGATATACTTTCAAGGTTCTTCATATATCCCTTTGCAGAAGGGAACAAAAAACAAAAGGACTGTGGGTTCATGTTCATGAGAACTTTTCAAACAGAGGGAAAAAAACCACAAACGTCACCGCTAACTGTCCTATCTGCACCTCTTGAGCATCAAAGGGGGGATTTTGCTGCCATAATCTCCTCTGGATTCACTTAGAAGATGTCACACACCATTCAAGGAAGTGCTGAATTCTGCTGCTCCCAGAAAGGACACTTTTTAAAAAAAAAAAAAAAAAAAAAAGCTTCACTCAGTCTAAATATATGGCTGCTCAAGTGTATGGCCAAGTACTGGAAGATAAATGGATTTACACTGGCAGGAGTTACAAACATTCATTCAAATAAAACATCCTTGCTTATTCACTGCAGACCAATAGGCTGAAGTGGACACATGAGTTAATTGAATAATTTTCTGGAAAGGATTTTTTTTTTTTACTTCCACAAATAAATGGTGTTTATCAATGAATAAACTTATTATTTAATGTGAAGAACACGTTAGAAAATTCATTAGCATTCAGAAAGATACAGGCATGCTGGAGGCATTCTTTTCTAAGAATTTTTGAGAATATTAGGTACCTTAGAACAAGAAAATAAGACACAAAGGTTCTGTGAAGGACAGTGAAATACCAGGGAGCAACATATTAAATGTAGATATTGCCCAAGACAAGCAGGAGTAATGGGATACGGCCCTCAAAATATTATCTAACAACCCTATATGGGTGATAAGTCTGAGATTTTCCTAAGAAGCCTCTTTTCCCAAGAGGAATATTCATGTTACTGATCCAATTTAGTGAAGGAAGAAGAACATAAGATGCTTTGCATACCTTCCAAAAACGTCAATCAGATCCTATAGCTGCCCTTTAACAAGGAAACAAAATATTTTGGCCTTTTTACTGATAGCACAGAGAAATGAAGACACAGAGGAAAATGGCATACTTAATAAAAGTTTGGGATGTGTCATTTTTGCTTACCAAAGAAAACCGAACAGAAAAGAACTCGGGATCCTTAATGGATTGTTCAAATGTTCATTAGCATCAATCAGATTTATTTGAACAGATAATTATCCCCATATTGTGCTTTCATCACTGGGATTGTTTATGTTAAACTGTCAAGCAGCCGTTTCCAAATTTTACCCCTTGATGTGTTGAAGTTCCTTTGGTGGTTAGAAAAACAAAGAAGGATTTATTTTCCTTTCCCTCCCCCCCCCCAGCTTTGTTATTTAACCCCGTTTGAGGTGTTTCATGAGGCTTTTAAGTCCACAGGAGCACCGAGTCACCTTCATTTCAGATGTTCTGAGGAGCTGAACGTGCAGGTCTCCCCAGGAGAAGCGCAGGGAGAGCCAAACACTCCCAGTCCTGCTCCAGCTCCTCCACTCCGGGCTGGAAGGCACCCGTGGGGTGTGCACACAGAGAAGCTGCAGCTTGCGAGTGGCAGCTCCCCCGACTTCCAGGAGCTGACTGGGAGCTGACAGTCCCTCAGCACTCACTCTGGTGGTTGCCATCAGTGTGTTAAGCAAATCGGTCTATTTGCAGCTACAAGTGATTAGAGCCCTGTGTAAGACAGCAAATTGCTGTGTCTAATCAAAGCAAGCCAACCCGTGCCTTTAGGCTACTCTTAATGCATTTATCTGTTGCTAAAGAAAGTACTTTGGCAATACATGTG